TATGGTGGCCAATATCAACCCAAAATTACTCAACAAGACTAGGTGTGGTGGCTCGTGCCTGTAATCCCAGCACTTTGGGAGGCCAAGGTGGGAGTATTACTTGAACCCAGGTGTTCAAGACCCAATATCTCCCTCTACCCTATGCTGTGTAGGAATGTCTGATTTAATCTCTCCAGGGTGGAGCCTCATATGTTATTGCATGAGTAGTCACAAATGTTTGTAATGAATATGTGGTATTCCAGGGGTCTAGTTGCAATCTTTCAATGACTCAGTTAGTTCCGATTTCAGCTCCATTCATGCTATAACCTCTAGGGCTACCTGATAACTACCTTTGCTTCTCTAGCATTGCATACAAATTGGGTTGATTCTTTTGTCTTCTTTTTCCCTTGTAGATTTTTTTGTTTGTTTAAGTGACAGGGTCTCACTATGTTGCCCAGGCTGGTTCTTGAACTCCTGGGCTCAAGCAGTCCTCCCGCCGTTAGCCTTCCAAAGTGCTGGGATTGCAGGCATGGGCTCCTGCGCTGGCCCCTTGTAGATCTTTTTCAGCTTTCCCCTGCCTGCTAAGTCAGTTACCACATAGCAGCTTTTCATTCTGTAGACAGCTTTTTCCCTTTGTCTTTTTCTTTTGCCTATTTATGCCTCTTCTGTTCCTACAAAGTTACTTGGGTAGAGAGTAGATATAAGTGCCATGTATTCATCTCACATTTTAAAAGATTTTTTACCTTTAACATTGAATGTTGGCGTGGTGAAGTATGAGACCCACCTTTTTGTTTTGTTTTGTTTGAGACGTGACCTAGGCTGAAGTGCAAATGGCTCACTGCAACCTCCAACTCCTGAGCTCAGGTTATCATCCTGCCTCAGCCCTCCTGAGAAGCTAGGACTAAAGGTGCATACCACTAGGACTAGCTAATTTTTTTTTAGAGATGGGGTTCTCACAGTGTTGCTCAGGCTGGTCTCGAACTCTTGGTCTCAAGCAGTCTTCCTATTTCAGCCTCCTGCGTCTCTGGGATTACACATGTTAGCCACTGACATCGGCTTCTGTCATTATTTCATTGGACTGGAATTTAAAACTTCTGCGTTGCTCACAGACTTTCTGTATCACTTGACAATTGGTGTGGCTCTCTTCCATGCCACCTGTTCTTCAGATGGTTAACGGTAGAAATGACTCCCTTGGGTGCACAGAAAAGTGTTTGCTGGAGAAAAATTGTAAATTATTAACTATATGTATAACTTCTTTTTATTTTTCTAAAGCTTTAATGAGGATATTGAACACAATACAAAGTGTAAAACATTTTCAGGAATAGTGGCAGGAAGTAGGAGAATGATTATGGAGTGAAAGTTTAAAACCTTTGTGCTACTTGCAGCAGTAGACTAATCGTCTACTTTACTTTTTTACTTGATTCTTCAGATAGTGTATACGTTTCATTTTCTCCAAGAAGCTATCCTCAGTAACTGGATTCCATTTTTAAGATCTGAATATTTAATATTCAGTTAAATTTATGTTCATTGTTTTCTTTATGAATATTAAGCATTGTTTTTATGTCTGTCTGCATTCATAACTACTGCGGCAGGATCGGAGTTGTCTTCCTTTTTCCTTTTGCTTCTTTCCCGCACGCCGTACCTCCCACTGCAGCTTGTGATGCCCAATGCATAGTGATTCAGAAAACGGCTAACTTGTATCCTTGAGCCAGCCAGAACCATGATCCCCTGTCTTACTCTTAGAAGAGAAATTGTTTCGTAGGCTACAGAACATTGTGTAGTTATTTTATATTGTTTTTGCTAAGTAAGGAGGTAAAGTCATAAAAGACATGTTTCTAAAGGAAGGAGAGAATAAACAACAGACAGCAGAGTACGGTATGTAAACACTAGAAAGTACAAGATGTAAATTCTGTTTACAAATAAGTTTATTATTACATTGACCAGAGAGGATTCTTTCCCTTTTCCCTTCCAAGGCTAAGGTTGGTTGTTTCCAGGAGGGGAAATTTATTGTCTCTCTCAACTCTGTCTGGTAGAAAAAGAGGTGGTAAATATTATGTGATCTTTTTATATCTCAGCTAATTTATTAGGCAAAACAAGGATATAAAATATTCTTAAATAAGAATAACCATGTATTCAGCATAGTATTGGAAGCCCCAGCCAGAGCAATAAGGTAAGAGAAAGGAATAAAAAATTATTACCCTAATAGGAAAATATGAAGTAAATTCTCTCTGCAGATGATATAATTCTATATCTAGAACTCCCAGATATTCCATCAACACTCCTAACACTCACAAATGACTTAAGTAAAGTCTTGGGTTGCAAAATTGATTCTCAAAAATTAGTTGCATTACTATATTCTAACAACAGTCAAGCTGAGAACCAAGTGAAAAGAACAGTTCCATTTACAATAGACACGCACACATACACTCTTTGAAATACATCTAACCAAAGAGGTAAAAGAGCTCTAGAACAAGAACTACAAAACACTGTTTAAAGAAATCAAAGATGACATAGACAAATGGAAAAATCCATGCTTATGGATTGGAAGACTCAATATTGTCAAAATGTTGATACAACCTAAAGCAATCTACAGATTCAGTACAATTCCTATCAAATTACCAGCATCATATTTCACAGATCTAGGAAAAAAATACTTAAATTTATATAGAAGCAAAAAAACCCTGAATACCTAAGCAATTTTAAGCACAAAAAATAAAGCTAGTAGGCATCACATTTTCAGACTTCAAATTTTACTACAAGGCTATAGTAACCAAAATAGTATGGTACTGGTACAAAAATAGATACATACACCAATGGTAGCAGATAGACAACCCAGAAATAAAACTACAGACCTACAACCAAGTCGTCTTTGACAAAGATGACAAAAACATTGTGTGAAGGAAACCCTATTTAGCAACTGGTACTGGGAAAACTGGCTAACCACATGCAGGAGAATGAAACTGGACGTCTACCTATCACCATATACAAAAATTAACTCAAAATGGATCAAAGACTTAAACTTAACTATAAAAATCTTAGAAGAAAACCTAGAGAACATCCTGCTGGACATCAGCCTAAGCAGTAAATTCATGACCAAGGTCCTCAAAAGCAGATGCGGCAAATACCAAAATTGACAAGTGGGACCTAAAACTAAGTAACTTCAGCAGCGAAAGAAATCATCGCAGAGAAAAATAAAACCACCTACAGAATTGGAGAAAATATTTGCAAACTATTCATCTGACAAAAGACTGATATTCAGAATCTGCAAGGAACTCGAATCAGCAGCAAAAAAAATAATCCCATTAAAAAATGGGTAAAGCAGGCTCAGTGGCTCAGCCTGTAATCCCAGCACTTTGGGAGGCCGAGGCGAGAGAACTGCATGAGCCCATGGGTTCGAGACCAGCCCAGGCAACTTGGCGATAAAATAAAAATTAGCCAGGTGTGGTAGTGCACCTCTGTAGTTCCAGCTACTTGGAAGGCTGAGGCAGAAGGATCGCTGGATCCCAGAAGGTCGACGCTGGGGTGGCCATGAGCGTGCGTGCTACTGCACCCCAGCCTGGGCGAAGGAGTGAGACTCCAATTCCAAAAAAAAGGCGGGCAAAGGACATGCACAGACTCTTCTCTAAGGAAGACATACAAGTGGCCAACAAACATGCAAAAATGCCCCAAATCACTAATCATCAGAGAAATGCAGATCAAAACCACAATGGGATACCATCTATACCAGTCAGAATGGCCATTATTAAGAAGTCAGAAAACGACAGATGTTGGCAGTTTTGTGGAGAAAAAGGAATACTTGTACACTGTTGATAAGAATGTAAACTAGTGCAGCCCTTGTGGAAAGCAACTTGACAATTTCTCAAAGAACTAAAAATAGAGTTACCAGTCAACCCAGCAATCCCACTACTGGTATATACTAAAGGAACATAAATCACTCTATGAAAAAGACACACTCAGTTTTTATCACAGTGCTATCCACAATAGCAAAACCATGGAACCAACCTAGGTGCCCATCAATAGTGAATAAACTGTGATGCCTATGTACCATGGAATACTATGCAGCCATATAAAAGGAATGGAATTATATCATTTGCACAACATGGACTTAGTGCCACATTTTCTCACTTGTAAATGGGAGCTAAATACACACAGGCATAAGGATGGGAATAGCAGACACTGGGGACTCCTAAAGGTGAGAAAGAAGATAGGGGTTAAGGGTTGAAAAGCCACCCTTTGACTACCATGCTCACCACCTGGGTGACGGGTTCAGTAAAAGCCCAAACCTCCCTATTATATGTAACATACCTGTGTAACAAACATGCGCATGTGCCCCTTGAATCTAAAAATAATTTTTTGAAGCCCATTTTATATGTTACGAAGAGTCAAAAGCATTGAATCAAAAAGTTGATATTTTCACTAGATATTTACACTTTGATGAAGAGTTTTTTCTAGCTATCTCATATAGGTCTTATATAATACTCATTTTTGCTTTTCACTGGAAACTCCCCTAGTTCTTGCTATCAAAGACATATAAAATCCTAGAAGTTAGTTTTAGATACTTGAAAGGGAAATATTAGCATTATTTTATCTTGTTCTGTTCAATTGTATAAAATCAGATAAATCAAGAATATTTATTGAAATAAAACTTACTCGTACTAGGAATTTACTTTTGAATAATAGAGTAAGGAAAAATTAGTCAATGTCTTCCCCAACACATATTTTGACCTTTTAAAAAATTATGTTTTTGGTGGTCTTTTTACTAATTAAGCTAACACAAAGCGTTGGATGAAAAGTATTATCTCTCTGTTTTTGAAATAGATAATTGTAGTTTGTGTCAATTGAGGAGTAGTAAATGAAAATGGTTTTTGGTAACTATGACTTTGTGCTTTCTCATCTGAGACTAAAAAATAACAAGTCTCCCAACCTGCCTAGATTGAGTATACATCTATTTTGGCTATGAGTTATAACACGTCTAAAAATATAATTAGCTTTGCTTTTCATTTTCTACTTTTTCTCCACAGCCTCATGATTTTGATGAATGTCGATTTGATATTAGTGTTAATGATAGTGTTTGGTACCTTCGTGCTCAGGATCCGGATCATAGACAGCAATGGATAGATGCCATAGAACAGCACAAGGTAAGATCTCTAATGTTTACCTGTCAGTGGAGGACTAGGTACAAAACGGGTGATGACTCTTTTTAAAAATAATCTTGACAAGTAGCATGAGTCACTGAAAAATTGAAACATTATTTGGGTGATAAAGATTAAAGTAGTATATATGTAAATTTTTGAAGTAATTTTTTATTTTATAATACTTGACTTACACTGAAGATTTGCTGTGATAAATATTTTTGAAAAATATTTGCTCTGATAAATATTTTTCATTGTTAATTGAATCAAAAAGATGTCCTTTTCCATAAAACACGTTGATTTTTATATTTAGTATTTCCCTCATAATAAATAACTTTTTTATGATTTAGGTGAAATAATTGCATTATAAAACCCTAATGTTTAAAACCCTCAGTGTTAATTTTTGTATCTGTATTTTTTTAAGTCTATTGCCATTTGGATAAATTATTAGTGCAAACATTTGTAAATCATTTCATCTTTGTAAATATGGAGCTATCTAATGATAAACCTACAGAAAGTCTTTCTGATATAAATATATATGACACATTATTATAATTTAAAGGTCTTTAAAGAAGTCTTTGACTTCTGCTGTTAATAAGTGGTAAGTAGATGAAAGATATATATGCTGTTAATCTGTAGTATTTGCTAATCCAGTAATACCATAATAAAACAAAGAATAGGGAAAGTTCTAAATTCAGCATGCTGTTCTTGAACGTGACTTAAGAGAAGTCTGTGCTTGCACACATACTTGTCTGTACTTGTTCTTTTGTGTTTCACAAAGTTGTAGTTGAAACACCTGTTCTGGTTATTTTAACAGGCACAAAACACATATACACACAAAACAAGAAAAACCAGTCTGGCCTGGGAGTCCACAAGTGCATACTTCTTGATACATTTGTGAGCTTTTCTTTCTGAGTTTATTGATTAAGATTTTTCCCAGCTAAAGAAAATTAACCGTGGTACCTGTCTTTTCCTCTCTGTTTTAGCTTTAGGGCTGTATATTTAAACTTTTTGTGCTAAATGTTTAAAACATTGTCTAAGTCTTACTTATCTTGACATTATTACTTCAGAAAAGAGTCTAACATGGAAACTTTTTTTCTGTTTTGTTTATATTATTTAAAAGAGAGGTGAACTAGTATTCTGGAATCTCAGTGCTTTGGAACCAGGCCAACCTGGGTTCAAACCATACAGCCTCTGCCATATTTGACATGTGTGACCTTGAGCATGGTGATTCACTTCTTGTCGGTGTTTTTTCTTCGCTGGCAATGATGGTACCTCCAGCTCAGAGTTGTAGTAAGGATTAAATGGGATAAAATATGAAGAAATATGAGAGTTGGTGTCACAACTAAATTCAGTGAATTATACTACATTGTTTCTGCATGAAGAGTTCTACATTCAGTGAGAGTAACTAAATGTACATATCAGAGAATGACCTATTTCATGTTATTTAATCAGGGCCAGCTCTCTTACTAGTGATTAAAGGTGTTGTTAAGTAAAACTAATTTTTGTCTTTTTAACTGATATGACCTTTAAAGTCTTAATTAGTTGATTTAGATTACAGGGCTAGTTTTTTTTCTGTTTTAATTTCGCATTTTATTTTGCTCACTTTTCTCAGTGAAGTCCAACCAAAATTTCTTTGCAAGGTTCCTATTTTGTATTTTTTCCTTTGAGTGAAGATGAATGCATGAAGTATATATTTCTTCCATATTGTTGTTTTGTGTTGTGTGTGTGTGTGTGTGTTTTTGAACAATGGCTAGATATAATTTTAGGGCCTTTCACAGAGCAGTGGGACTTAAGGTGAGATACAGATTTGGGGTGATTTTAAGTTCCTGGAAAAAATACAAATGCAAAATGCAAATACATTGTTCGAATTTTTCTTGTTTCTAGTGATAGTTTATTCATAGACAAGGATAAATCATTGTTAGTTGTTTATTAATATTTAATATACAGAAGTGAAATATGTATGCCAACATAGGAGGGAGAAATTTCACATGCAGTCAACAAACATAATCAGCAAAGTTTTCATTTTTCTCCCTCTATAGTCCAGGGAATGTTTTGTCCCCCCATAGTGAAATGTTTCCTGATTCATTGTCCACTATCATTAAGTAATATTAGCGGATTTCTGTAGTGTAGTGGTTATCACATTCGCCTCACATTAAGTAATATTGTCCATAGAACCTAAATTTAGTAATTTTACTATTTAAGCATGCATTGTTGTCTTGGTAACTCAAAATTAATATCAAATTGTTGAACGATGATGAGCTACCATTTATTTTGAGGCTCACCAAGCACAAATTATTATACTAAGTATTTTATGTGTTTTATTTTCTCCTGAGAGGTAAAGGAAGTATTGTTTTGCAGAGGTTTAGGTGAATATTAGATAACTTGCCTGAGACTATACTATCTTGTAGTTCATGGTTCTTGGGTTTCAATTTTGTGTTAATTCTCTTTTTCTGTCAGTTACCACTGGTAAACTCTGATTGTTTGAAAACAATTCCCATGAACTTTCCTTCTGCAAATTAAAGTTTGTCATCTGAGTTCTACTACCATATACATGTAAGAAAAATGTGAACTCATTTTTGTGCTCATGGATTACCAAAAGGGATAGTATATTGTATTGATTAGTGTTTTAGTACTGGATTCTGGAGTCTGGCAAAGATGAATCTGAATACTGGCACTAGTGTATACTAGCTGTGTGACCTTGGTAAATTATTTGCAGAAGGAAAGATGATAGAATGCAGTATGTGTTACCGTCTCCCATGCCCACCCCCAAACAAAAACAAGCAACAAAATCTAGTCACGATAAACCAAGAGTGCTGTAGCTGACAGTTGGCCTGGACTCCCATCATCCCAGCTCATTCAGTACATTTTACGCCTAATTCCTCAGCGCACCACTACTTGCCCTTGGGATGACTGGCAGGACACTTGGAGCAGTAGCCCCGACTTTTTCTGTTCTGATGCTGTCAGATGAGCCTTTGTTATTTTTTCTTATTGTTGAGCTTTTGTTGGAGCTTTAGTAATTTTCAGCATCTGGAAGAAGGGTTTGACAGTTGCTGTCCCTTCCCAGGAGGCCCTTATGCTCATTATAACAAGCTCTGTATGTTGATTCATTTTACACATGCTCTCTCATTCTCTCCCTCTCTCTCACCCTGCCTCACACACACACGAGTGTTCTGTTTTACAGGACTTCTCACTGATAATAATGGTGGTGGTGGTAGCTAACATTTTAAGGATTAATGAATGCCAGATATGGTGAACACTTTATATGTATACTTTATCTCATCTTACCCTCACATTAACATGAAGTCAGCATTATTATTCTATTTTTATAGATTAGAAATTTGAGGCAGAGAGAAGTTCAAGTGACTTGTCCAAGGTCAGACTACTTAGTAAAGGAGCCAGCATTCAGACCTATATCTGTCTGACCTGAGCTGGGGGTTTTGACCAGTAAACACCTCTGCTGTTCTACAAGTATGTATTTCTGTGAAATATGTTGTATTGACTTAAATCATGGACATCTTGATTCACAATATTCTCATATTTCCCCTATGTTCTTCATATCTCTAATATTTATTTTAGAATATAGCTTGTTAAATGCTCAGGCATATTCTAATTGAACTTCTTTGTAGGAATCAGCAAAACATTGAACACAGGAACTTTGAATTGAAATAATTTACAGTATTGTAAAACAGATTTCGTGGGAGAAATTTGTGCTGTTTAAAGGCCCCCCTTTAAAATCTTCATGGTTGATGTTAGAATGATTATTGACAAATACAGTAGAACTCCATACTCTCTGTCTAGCTTTGCTGTTTTTATCCCCCTTAAATTCATTCCACAATAACTTGTTCACTATAAGAAAAGTTTTAAAGAAATGACTCCATGATTTAAATTTTCTTAATCTATTAGAGGTCGCATAATTTATTGTGACATTGGGCAGCAGCCCCTGCAGAATAAAATTATTCCCAATGTTATTCTTAAATTCAAAAATTCTGTTTCAGTATAGAAAAGGACATGTGTATACCAGATCAGTAATATTATTTGAAAATAATATGCTGGCCTTATTTTATGGAATTCATTAATATTCTGCCTTTCTTCTTAACATTTTTAGACTTTAAATTATTTTTAAAGATAGATTTTGTTTCAAATCTGTAGTCATTTTCCATGTTTTTTGAGGTCAATCAAATTTATATATTTTATAAAATTTTATAAAAATTTTAAAAGCTATCTGAAAGTAAAATCAGGATGATTTTTTATTGGATTAAGCTAACATTTTTCTTTTTTTTTTTTTTGAGTTGGAGTCTCGCTCTGTCACCCAGACTGGAGTGCAGTGGCCGCTCCTGGCCACCACAACCTCGACCCCCTGGACTCCGGCAATCCTTCCGCCTCAGCCTTCCATGTAGCTGGAACAACAGGCACGCGCTACCACACCTGGCTAATTTTTTGATTTATTGTAGAGATGAGGTCTCGCCAAGTTGCCCAGGCGGGTCTCAAACAAACCTGCGGGCTCAGGCAATCCACTCACCTCAGCCTCCCAAAGCTGAGCCACCGAGCCCGGCACATTTTTCTAGTAAAGATGTGCCTGTGTATTATCAAAAAGCCTCTGTGAGCATTTTCTGCATAGTTTATAAAGGAAATGTGATAGACCATCTTTTGATGCTATTTTTTTAAATCATAGGATTATTTCTAGACTCATCTACAATTAGAATACATGTGATTTTGATTAAACACAGTTTCTGCTTACTGTGAAAAAAATATACTTCCCTCATCCTCATCTCCCAGCTCCTTAAGAAACTAGCGGTAAGGCTTTCCTGGCACTAGCAGATTTAAAAATTATCTTGAAAAAGTTAAATTTATTGACTTTGACAGAGTTTGTGATCATCATGACACTTTTATTTCTATAAGGGAGCAACTTTAGTAGATACTGAAATTTTGGTGGTTGTGAGCCACACAGACTTTACCCACATTGTGGAAATTATTCAAGACATTAGAAGTCAGAGGAAGCCAGG